CTCCCTCTCTCCCTCGCTTTCTCCTGAACATTGTATTGTATGTGTAGGAAGCTGTGGATGACGTTTCTGGAGCTGTGTGAGGCGGCGGGGAGCCTGCACGGCATGACGTGGTCGTCGCTGCGCTCACAGCTGGACGGGGTGGAGCTGCGTCGCACGTACACGCTCAACCCCCTCGCGCCCGAGTTCATACCGAACCGACTACGCCACGGTGAACCCTACATACGCATCAACCCCTACCTACAGGTGAGTCCGGGGCGTGTGGCGACCTGAGGAGCATGTGAGGGGAGTGTGCGGGGTGAGGGTTGTGTGAGGAGTGAGGGGAGTGTGCGGGGTGAGGGTTGTGTGAGGAGATTGGTATTCATACTATTGCTCTTATTTATATATTGTAGTGCTGTTGTTGTTGTTGTTGTTGTTGTTGTTGTTGTTGTTGTTGTTGTTACTATTATTATCATTATCATTATTATCATCACTATTATTATTATCATCATAATTATTATCAGGAGTACATGAATGAAAGAATAATTTCCGGTTCATTGCTGCTCCTTGTATATTCATCATCGTTATCGTCAATCATCCTCGTCATCTCATCATTGGCAGGCAAGCAAGTTCCGTTGCGATCTTCCCAGCACTGTGCGGCACGCGGCACACATGTTCGTATCGGCAAGCCCTCACGAGTGCGACTTTGGCTTCCTCTCCAACGCGAAGCTGCTCAAACACAGCGATCACATGCGCGCGGGCGTCACTCGTCTGGCCGTCGTAGGACGACCCCGTCTCACTCTGCTCCGTCGGCAAGTGCATGGGTAATTAACGCAGCATCCCGGTCGGCACACGGTTCTGTGTGTGATCGCTGTGGCGGTGAGGGGCGGGGTCTGTGTGAGAGGGGCGTTGGATAAGTGTATTTCTTGGTACTTTTTATCTCTACTTGCATGCCACTCAGTCTCACCTCTTCCATCTCTTATCTAATATAATATCCTCTCCCCCCCCTCTCTACCTCCCTCTCATCTCTCTCTCTCACACCACAACACTCCCCCTTTCTCACCACTCTCTGTCTCTGTCTCTCCCCTCTCCTTTTTTTTATCCTTTTCTCCCTCCCTCGTTCCCTCTCTCTTTCCCCCCCCTCTCTTCCTCCCTCTCTCTCCCTCTCGTTCCTCTCTCGCTCTCTGCCTCCTCTCTCTTTCTCTTCCCCCTCCCTCTCTCCCTCCTCTTGTCCTCCTCCCTCCCTCCGCTCTCCCTCCTTCCCTCTCTCGTCTCCCTCCCTCTCCTCCCTCCCGCCCGCTCTCCCTCCCTCTCTCTCTCTTCTCCCGTCCCTCCTCCCTCTCTCCCTCGTTTCTTCCTTGAACATTGTATTTGTGTTCTTTCACATCCTAAATATCTCTCTATTGGTTGTGCATGGTGCTTCCCCTAATTGTGCAATTAGGCTTAATGACTCGATGCATAATACAGCTCAAGAACTCACCAGGATTTAATCTAACGTCACAGTTTCGCTTGTGTGACCTCCCCAACCCCGTTTCGCCTGCGAGCGATCCTCACGATGACTGTGTGACCTCTTACCTTTGACCCGCAACGTTTCAGGTCGCACGCGGCCATCATCACGTTCGCCTCCCAGGTGTTCTACAACAACAAGCTCGTCGCCAGCGGCAACGTGGAGAAGCACAGCAACTTGCACCCGCTCTCGTTCTTCTGCGCGATGGGTCAGGACGTGCAGGACCAGAACAGCACGACCTTCTACAACAACGCCGAGGTGAGGCGTCGTTACAGATGGCGCTGTCCACTACTGCTTTCTCGTCCTCGTCCCTGCTATCATGTTTATCTTATATGCGTCGTATGAGAACGGAATGCTGTGGGTTCGACAAGTATGTGATCAGTATGTAAAGTTCTGTTCAGCATTTTCTAGCCGATAAACTAGTCGTGCTTTGTGATGATACTGACCTCTGATCCCCCCGAGTGACAATTGACCCTCCCTGCATGACCTTTAAATCGCACACGATGCGATCCCACATGACGGCTTACGTTCCTGCGTGACGTCTAATCCCCCTCGTGACCTTTGACCACGTGCGTGACCTCTGACCCCCCGCCGCGCGTCGCTGCAGGTGTATGAGATCGTGGAGAGGGTAGCCGAGCTGCAGAAGAACTGGCCCAAGTCGTGGGGTCGGCAGGACGAGAACAGCATCGGCGTGGTGACGCCGTACGCTGACCAGGTGTACCGAATCCGCGCCGAGCTGCGCAAACACCGCATGTTCGGCGTCTGCGTCGAGCGCGTGCTCAACGTGCAAGGTACGTGCGCTTGTTTTTTTGTTTTTTTTGTTGTCCTTGCGCAGAGAAGGCTATGTATGTTTTGTGAGAGATTGTGGCAGGATTGGCACAGTATTGTTGTTTGTTTGCCTTCTCTCATGCAAAGCAGTATTATTATCATTGGTATTATTACTATTGCTCTTATTATTATTGTTGTGTTGTTGTTGTTGTTGTTGTTGTTGTTGTTGTTGTTGTCTGTTGTGTGTTATTACTACTATTATTACTCATATATATTATTATCATCATAATTATTATCAGGAGTACATGGAATGAAGAATAATTTCCGTTCATGTGCTCCTTGTTTATCATTCATCGTTATCGTCATCATCATCGTCATCGTCATCATCATCGTCATCGTCATCATTGCAGGCAAGCAGTTCCGTGCGATCTTCCTCAGCACTGTGCGACACGACCGGGCATCACATGTCGCGATCTGGCAGCCCTACGAGTGCGACTTTGGCTTCCTCTCCAACGCGAAGCTGCTCAACACAGCGATCACGCGCGCGCAGTCGCTCGTCGCCGTCGTAGGCGACCCCGTCTCACTCTGCTCCGTCGGCAAGTGCAGGTAATTAACGCAGCATCCCGGTCGCACACGGTTTTGGTTTGATTGTGTGGCGGTGAGGGGGGGTGAGAAGAGCGTTGGGAAGTGGTATCTTCTTGGTACTTTTTATCTCTACCTTGCATGCCACTCTCCCTCTCTCCATCTTGATCTATATAATATCTCTTCCCTCTCACTCCTTCTGTACTTCTCTCTCTCTCTCTCTCTCTCTCTCTCTCTCTCTCACACACACACTGACCTACACTCCCCTTCTCGCACACTCTCTGTCTTGTCTCTCATCCTCTCCTTTTTTTTCTCCTTTTCCCTCCCTCCCTCGCTCCCGTCCTCCCTCCTCCTCCCTCTCTTCCTCCCCTCTCTCTCCCTCTCTTCACTCCTTCTCTCCCTCTCTACTCTCTGTCTCACCCTCTTCTCTCCTCTTCCTCTCTCCCTCCCTCTCTCCTCCCGCTCTCCCTCCCGCTCTCCTCCCTCTCTCTCTCCCTCCGCTCCGCTCCCCTTCCTCCCTCCGCCCTCCCCTCCCTCCCTCCCTCCCTCCTCCCGTCCCCCTCCCTCCCTCCCCCCTCCTCCCTCCCTCCCTGCGTCTCCCTCCCTCTCTCTCTCTCCCCCTCCTCCCTCCCTCCCTCTCTCCCTCGCTTTCTCCTGAACATTGTATTGTATGTGTAGGAAGCTGCTGGACATGACGTTTCTGGAGCTGTGTGAGGCGGCGGGGCAGCCTGGCACGGCATTCCGTGCGTCGTCGCTGCGCTCACAGGCTGGACGGCGGTGGAGCTGCGTCGCACGTACACGCTCAATCCCCTCGCGCCCGAGTTATATACCGCAACCGACTACGCCACGGTGAACCCTACATACGCACAACCCCTACCTAACAGGTGAGTCGGGGGTCGTGTGGCGACCTGAGGAGCATGTCGAGGCGGAGTGTGTGCGGGGTGAGGGTTGGCTGTGAGGGAGTGAGAGGGAGTGTGCGGGTAGGGTTGTGTGAGGAGCCATGTGAGGGGGAGTGTGGCAGGTGAGGGGGAGTGTGTCGGGAGTGAGGGGAGTGTGCGGGGTGAGGGTTGTGTGCAGGAGAGGGGAGTTGTGCAGGAGTGGGGGGAGTGTGGCAGTGGTGAGGGGAGTGTTGTGGGGTGAGGGTGTGGGAGGACTGAGGGCACGTGTGCAGGGTGAGGGTTGTGTGAGGAGTGAGGGGTGTGTGGGGAGGGTTGTGTGAGGAGTGTGTGGGTGAGGATGTTGTGATGGAGTGCAGGGGAGCTGGGCAGGGTGAGGGTTTGTGTCGAGGATGAGGGGAGTTGTGCGGGTGAGGGGGAGTGGTGCAGGGTAGAGGGTTGTGTGCAGGATGGTGAGTGGACGTGCTGGGCGTGGGTGAGGGATGGTGTGAGTGGGTTGTGTGAGGAGTGTGCAGGGAGTGTGCGGGGTCGAGGTTGTGTGAGGAGTGAGGGGAGTGTGTGGGGTGAGGTTTGTGTAGGAGTGCAGGGGCGTGTGCGGGGTGAGGTTGTGTGAGGGGAGTGTGTGGGGTGAGGGTTGTGTGTGGAGTGTGCGGGGTGAGGGTTGTGTGAGGGGAGTGTGTGTGGGGTGAGGGGCCTGGCAGGCTGTGATATGGAGAGGGCGTGGGAGGTTGTGATTGGGGAGGGGTAGGTGATCAGTGATGAAAATTAACACTCGCCCAGTCGCTCGAGCCGAGTAGAAATAATGTTGGGCCCCAGAATTTCATTGAAAAGTCGCCCGGAATGCAAGGCTTTGTTTTTATAGTTAAACATTCAATAATCAGTGGAATCACTACGATTTCAGTGCTATGATTACGCCACTACAATTCGCTCACCATTTCCTAGAATTTTGATACGTTTTTTGACCACTAGAATGAAAACGATTTCACTCTATCCTGCTAGGACTAGGAGTAGGAGTATCGAGTATGAACACGTTGATACACGTTCATGGGGGTGGCCATTTTTCATGTTGATTTTTGGGCAGTTGATGACGTAACCACTGTGTGTTTTTTTGCAGGGACCCTACAGCCACCATTACTACCCATACTCGGCGCCCTGGTTCCCGCGGCAGGCCCACCCAGCGTTCCAGCACCACATGTACATACCGCAATACACATACCCCCCACTCAGGTACGTAGTACACAGTCGTGGCGCAGGCAGGTGGTAGCATGGTATAGGCAGGCAGGCAGGCAGGCCAGCAAGTTGGCAGACAAGCAGACAGGCTTGCAGGCTGGCAGGCAGGCAGTCTGTTCATGCATACTTTATATTACATTGCACATTCCGTATGTGAACATACATTCGAATCATTTGCAATAAAGAATATGTGCGTGCGTGCGTGCGTGCACGTATATGTGCTCATGTACATTACAACGTGTTGTGTGAATGCAGGATGCCATACGTGGGGGCACCGATCATCATTCCACCGTACCCGATCGCTGGCTACCCCGTGCCGCCTCCCAGCCATCCAGCAGCCTCCCGCTATAACAAGACACGCCTAGCACTGAACGGCAGAGGCAGTCTGAATGGCACAGCAGCGGTGCTGCCACCTAACGGCCGAACCCCAGACGGTAGAGGACCAAAACTGGAGGGACGCGACGAGAGGAGAGGTGTGTTGTCGATTTGATGTTATTGCATTACATATCGTTACGTGTCGTCATCTTCTTTATCTTCAGATTTTTCGCATCTAGTAATTTATTGATGAGTATTTACATTGCAGTCTTGTTTATCTAAATCAAATCAGTAGATTCATAGTATGCAAATCATGTCAAGAATCATTGTTCGTAAAACCGAGGCGTGCATCCGTCACAGATCCCAGCAGCCGGAATCCGAGCGGCGACAAGACCGCGAAAACAGATGGCGCCACTAAGGCGAAGCCCGAGCGGCGAGACAGCGGGGAGCACGCAGACGGTGCGACGAAGCAGAAGGGGCAGACGGCGGCGGCGGCGGCGACGGCGGCGGCAGCGAGTCAGATGCTCGGTGTCAGCCTCATGTCGTCGGGACCCTACGGCCCGATCCCCCCCGCCGGGCACCACTACCCCGGCTCCTACGCCGGCGCCCCCGGTGGCTACAACGCGCGGTACGCGGCGCCGATGCTGCCGCTGCGAGCCGCGCAGGTGTCACCATCTGCGTACGCGCGCGGGAGGGTGGCGCGCGCGCCATCTGGTGAGGAGAGTGTGAACTCGGCTCCGTCGTCCGGCATCCCGAGTAGTTCAGCAGGGCTGCACGGGTCGGCTGCCGCTAGACTCGGTAAGCTCCTTGTTTTATCATTAGGTCGGTCGGTCGATCGGTCCATCTGTCCGTCCGTTCGTCGGTCTGTCGGTCAGTAGTAGGTTGTAGGTAGTAGTTAGTTAGATGTTAGATCACTTTGTAATTTTTCGTGCTGGGTATCTGGTGCTCTGAATATTCCATGCACGAGCCATTCACATGAAGTCTTCATACTTGCTATTATACTTATTACCTCCGCAACGGAGTTGCAGGGAGGTAATGTGACCTCTCTCGTGTGATGTTCGTGTGTGTGTGTAGCCAGCAGCGAGGCAGCTGTTATACGCTGTTATAGCGTTGGCGCGATCGATTCAGCATCAGCTGGCCTTAGAACGTCCAGGCAGCAGCAGCTCGCCTTAGAACGTCCAGGCAGCAGCAGCTTGCCTTAGAACGTCCAGGCAGCAGCAGCAGCAGCGAGCCAGCTGTTATACACATGTATACATGTTACACGCTCGCGGAGGTATGCACTCTCTTTGAGTGCCCTCTGTCTAGTTGCTACTGTGACTTACTGTAACTTCTTACTGTTCTCTGCTCCCGTAGTGTCGACAGCCACCACCAGCCCGACTACAAACGGCATTGACCACCAGGAGGCAGGTCCAAACTTCCTCGCCTCGCCACAGGTTCCGAGAACGACGGTTGCCGCGACAACCGTTACCAACGGAGCCGTGTTCCCGGAGAGCCAGATGAACGGGATAGATCCGTACCTGCAGTCTCTGGACGAGGTGAGACGGTCCTGCGTGGTGAATCGATGGCGAGACGGTGCTGTAATGAGGCGATGAGTCTCGTCTCGTTGCATTGCTAAAAATGTATGAAAATGCTTCTAAATATAGTCTCAATCTAAGCCACGTGTTACCCTTGTTGCTGTTTGTTGCCCGTTGTTGCTGTTTGTTGCTCATTCACACTCGTCTTTGCAGTGTGAATAACTCGTGGCCTCGCGTGTCGTCTGCAGGTTGCCCGCGACGAAGGCATCGGCATGGAGGTCAAAATCTATTTCAGTCTTAGGGTCAGCCATGTTGCTCGCTGTTGCTAACTGTTGTTGTTTGTTGCTAACTGTTGCTCATCGTTGCTCGTTCTCACTAGGTTGCTCTCGACGACGGCATCGGCGCGGAGGTCGGCGACGGGTCGGGCAAGAGCTGGCCGTACCCGGCGCACACGATCCCGTCCTACAAGCTGCATCAGGAGTGGTACAACCACCTGCTGCAGACGCAGGGCAAGGAGGCGGCCGAGTCGTACGCCGACCAGGTGCGCGAACGCGCGCGCATGTACAACAGCCTGCACCACAGGGGGCGCCATGACGAGATGAAGGCCGCGTGGCTCCACTCCGACAACAACCGACGCGGCGGCGGCGGCGGCGGCGCCTACCCCGCGGGCGCGTTCCCCAACGGCTACGGTCGCCACGACTACGGTCGCCACGACGACGGTCGCCGCGGCGACGCGTTCGGCGGGCCAGCGCCGGCGGATTTCGGCGGCCGGCTGTCGCCGCCGCATCCCGAGAACGACTTCCGGTCGCCGTGGGAACAGCAGCACGACGACAAGGACCGCGTCGTGCGCTTCATCCAGGAGTCGATTGACCGTGAGCTGCAGGGAACGTCCATCGACCAGCTGCAGCAGCATCTCTGGGAGCAGTGGTCGTCGGAGCTTCACCCGCGCCACCCGCTCTACCTACGCCGGCTCGACGACGCCCGCTACCGTCGCCACCAGCAGATGGCGCTGCAGCAGCACTACGCAGCGGCGGCCGCAGCGGCCGCCGCGCACCACCAGAGGGAGCCGGATGTGTTTGACACGATGGCGCACTTCGATCAGCGCGCGGCGTCGGACCGTCGCGAGTTGCTGCGCGGCTACGGCCACCACGAGGCGTACGCGCGGCACCTCGCGTTTCCGCTCGCGCCGACGCTGCTCCCGCCTCCGCCATCGCCCCTCAGCCACCTGGTGACGGGCCACGCGATGCAGTACGCGGCAGCGCCCCCTCGCGTCCCGCTGCCGGCCTCGCCTCCGCACGAGCACGACGACGAACCCCTCAGTGGCGCCGCCACGTGGGCACCACTGGCGCCACCTACGAGCGACGAGGCGGCAGCGATGGAGGAGCCATTGACGTACGCGGGGGCGTTGCGTAAGCCGCCGGGCGTGAAGTCGCCCGTGCCGGCGGCGGCGCGTGCGACCCCCGACGACCCCCTCAACCTGCTGAAGAACCTGAACATCGCTCCAAAGTCCCCCGACGGCTCTTACCAGTATTTCCAGTAACTGCGGTAACGTAGGTATCTCGTAGCGCGGCGTCGTCCCATCGCCGTCGTCATGGTAACGTAGGTATCCCGTAGCATGGCGGCGTCCCATCGCCGTCGTCAGGGTCAAGTAGGTATCTCTTAGCGCGGCGGCGTCCCATCGCCGTCGTCATGGTAACGTAGGTATCCTGTAGCGTGGCGGCCTTTAATCGCGGTTGTTGAGGTGATGCAGGCATCTCGTATGGCGGTGGGGTCCAATCACCGCCGTAGCGCATCGTCGTTCAGTTGTTGCCAATCGCCTTTAGCGTTGTCGTAGCAACGTAAGTAATTAGTAGTGCGGCAGGAGTTGGGGCGTCGCCGTAGAGTTGGTGTAAAGATAAAAACGTGCATTTGGGTCTTTAGTTTACGTTCGTGTAGCATTGTGTTCGTTTAGTGATGTGCGAGGTGCTAGATGGGGGCGGTGCAGCATGACCTGCTGCATGCGTGGGTGCGGCCGCTGGTTGTCGTCGCCCGTCTAGCTCTGCGCGATTGCACCGTTGGCTGTGGTGGTTGATTCGTTTGCACCTTTACTTGTAGTAGACCGTAAAGCACTTAGCTGTTACTATGTGATAAACAGATTGTATAAAGAAAATGGCGTTGCCCCGTTAAAATGTTGGAAAAGTGCTGGAAAACGCTAGGTCTCTCTGTATATTTATACGTATACTATATATATACGGCTCATATTCGGGTGACGTTAGTTGGTGCTGCCACCTGTTGTTTGGTGGGGTTGATGTTGTATCGTTGCATGTTTGTTGGCTGGCAGGCGATGTCAGTAGGCGAGTGGAATTGCTCTTGCTGTTATTCGTTGAGTTCTCTTTGATCAGATGATTCGATTCAACATCGTGCATCTCTCTCTCTCTCTCTTTCTCTCTCTGGGTGGCTGAGATGCTTTGTGGACGAGGAAGCTGGAACGTAAGTTCATGACGGCAGTGGTTCTTGGAGCTGTGTTTTTGCGGCGCATCTGCAGTCGCCGGTCGCCATCTTGTCTCGCGGGTTTTCGTCGCACGATGTTCGACTGCTCTCCGTGCGAGCGATTCGTCTTTCCCCTCGCGTAGTGCCCGCTCGTCTGAATGTAGGAGAGGATGCCGTTACGACCCAGTCATGAGTGCAGCTTCGAACGCCAGGCTGCACGAGGGCGCCACAGTCAACTGTAGTTGGGCGCTCGTGACCGTGAGAGGGCGCCACCGTCCGTCGATGAGCTATCGTTGTGCGTGTGAGGGCGCCACGGTCGTCACACGGCGTCGGCTCCTGCTTTGCCCGTTTCATCGTCGTCGTCATCGTTGAAGTTTTCTATTTCTTGATAATTACGAGTGTATTTACGTTCGCTAGTGTACGTTGTTAGTCCCCCCACCAGATGACGCGAGTCGTCTGGTCTCACCTCTGGTTGTGGCTATCTACCTTCTCTCGGTCACGAGTCGGTGTCGTTGCAGCATCTCCGTAATTCGTTCCCCCCGTTCCGCGCTGCGCGTACGCGCGCTGTTACCGTGGGCTGGCCTCCCGTCTAGTGGCTATCTGGCCCACTCTCCTGTTAAGGCCTTACTTATGTAGGTGTATCGTACGGTGTGTGATTATCGGTGTGTGTTCGTAAGCGGCACCCTTGTAGCCAACCCTTTCACTCGGCATCAGGACGAACCGTGTGTACGTAGCACAGCGTGCGAGCTGCGCGCATGGCCGTATCTCGTGTGTTATTAATGATGGGGGTTCGTGCAGTGATCACGTTCTAGTATCGCGCCTGTACGTTAGAGAGGTGTGTCAGGTGTGGGATACTGCTAGTATCGGTGGACGGGTGTACGGGGATTAGTGGTACATGGCCGCTGTACTAGTCCCAGCAAATCTTGTGCGAATGCGTTCATCTACGTGGGGTACCATCAGCGATCTGCTGTCATGCGTCTTGCGTTTGTGCCTGAGTGTGGTACATGCATAGGTGTGTATGTGTGTGCGTTCGTTGGTGTGTGTCCGTGCATGCGTGAGTGCGTGCGTGCGTGATCCTGGCCATTTTTACTCGTTGTGATGGTAGCAGTAAGCGTTTCTAGTTCTCTCGATTTTCTCCCGCATTTGGCTCTCGTGGGACTTTATTTGGCTGTTGTTTACGTGTAGTTTTAGGTTGGTATAACATGCGCTCGTTGGAGCGTATTAGCTACCAAGCCAAACGACTGAGCTGCAGTCAAACGGTTTGCCTTTGTCTAGGTGAGTGCGTGTTCTTTTCGTGCGTGGGACGAACTTATTTTGCTACGTAGCACAATTCGACATTGAGCGTGACCTTGCGTGTTTCGTATGGACAACCCTGATGTGAATATATACTTATATATATGTAAAAATGTAAATATGAAATACAACGGTGTGCATTACGTGCTCTGTATAACTTTGATAACATATAGAAGAAAGCAACAACAAAAAAAGATATGACGGTGAAGGTTTGTGTTACGTTTATAGCGCTTTAAAAGCTGAGAAGGGAAATTACGTATTGTGCTTATAGTATGAATTAGTGTAGGTCGTGGTAGGGGGTTGGTCGGAGCAATTTACCTTTTGATTACTACTATTTAATAAATCTCCCACGTGCGATGTACTATGGTGGGATGAAATTCGTTTTTAGGTGGTGTAATGTGATCAGGATTGATATTATAGTAATCATTCGTATAAAATCATTTGAAAGCAGAAACATAGGCGCAACTCGCTCATATCAGTTGTAGTATAGTTCACATGACGAGATGTTTGCTGTACTTCGCTAGCTGCCTGCTGTCTGCTTCTTATATTGTGACCAGATTCTTGTGATGTTTAGATGAAAGTATTAATTATTATGCATCGCGGAGCAAAGTGATAGCAGAGACTATACAGATGACGTGTTCGTGTTTTTTAAGCGACCACTTATACGGTACTTGTTTTCGTCACGTGATGTCGTCGTCGTCGTCGGGCCTTGCTGTTTTAGTGTGATTGTTTATTTGCTAGTCATGTAGCTGCTTGATTTTCGCGTGGGTCGCGGGTTTCTGACGTGGTGCAGGGTCGGCTGCGTGCAGCAGGGTTGTAAGTAGTAAGTAGCCTCACAGACGTATATATAGAGAGAGTTAGCTAACAGTCGCGTTGATGGGCGGGTCGCGTTGAATGGAGGACGGGCCATGCCTGCTGTTCCCGTTGAACCCTCGACGGCTCGTAGTTAACGAAGGCTGTGCCTTTCGTCCTCTCGGCTGCGGAGTCATTTCTGCCTCCTCGTTGCGTAGCGACGAGCTTCCTCGTTGCGTAGCGACGAGCTTCCTCGTTGCCTAGTGACGAGCTTCCTCGTTGCCTAGTGACGAGGATCGTGGTGCAGTATGGCGCCTGCTGCCGCGGTGTAACATTTCTGCGTCGTAATCGGCTCTAGTTACAGTACAGCCGAAACAATGGTACAGGCTGAAACAATAGTAATTGCCACTATTATACTATATAGTAGTGTTTGTATTACTATGGTAGTGTGGTAGGTACTAAACGGGCTATAGTAACTAGAGTAACGTCGCGGTCAGATGTATGGTGGGAGAGGGCGGGCTGCGCCGGTAACCGTCGTCTATGTAAAACACGCCGACGTCCGCGTTCACGTTTGGTTACGATGATGACGGCACAGGCAACGGTGGGCTGTTGGCGACTTGGTGTGGATAACAACATAAAGACGAGCGCAGGGTACACCGGACCAAAGTGCGATAGTGCGGGTTCCTATAGAGCACCGAAGTGTGACGTCATGGTGGCATGACAACGAACCCACTGGTTCTAAACAATCATCAGCTCCGTAACATTAACTGCGTGAAAATGTTGTGCGTACGTAAAACACGAGTGTGTGCGCTGCAGACAGCGGTAGAGCATCGGTAGCAAGTCGATCTTACAACATTGATTTCATCATCAAAATACCTAGAAAAAACATCTGCATAACTTATCAACTTAATCCATCGTCGCTTTTCACTTCCATCCTTTGGAAATCTATAAAAACTGCAATAATAACTCTCAGAATGAGGGTTACAATCGGGTACAAAACACGACACCATTATCACGCTGTTAGGAGCCAATGATTGTTTAGAACCAGTGGGTTCGTTGTCATGCCACCGTGACGTCATCACTTCGGAGCTCTATAGCAGCGTCGTGGATAGGTGTTACCTCGCGGAGGAGGATGGAGATGGAGGCATTGCCAGTATTATGTTGCCCTCTGTATGCGTTAGCTTGGGAGGCTTGTCTCGCGACACGACACGTGACGCCATTCAGCGCCCTCTGTTGATAATCGCGCGCTGCCGCGAATCGCGTTCTTTCATTTCTTCGTTCTTCGTTTATAGAAAATTTTCAGCTTCTTTGTTCTCTTTAGCCGCGCGCATGCGCAGTTGTCGTCGTGTGTCGGAGAAATAGTTGAACATTTATTAGCCAAGCTCAAATATATTAAGTGAAACAGCTAGCTGCGAGCTTTCTGCTTCTATATATTATATTATATTATATTACGATAGCGATGTATATAAGATTGAATAATTAATTATATGAGCCGTTAGTTCAGTATTATGTGTGTGGCGACTATATGAAATCAGAGAATAGCGGACCAGCGGCGGGCATTATAATGCAACGATCGCGTCTGGTTACGATTGCTTCTGGATGGAGAGGTCAAGGGTCAAGTTGCGAAGGTTGGTACTTGCCATGGCAACAGTCGCGCGTGTACTTTCCCGCGACGGAGATGGTGTTTGGAAATTGGCGACGAGACTTTTTATCATCAATAGAGTAAAATTTTGTACGAAATCCGGTGGATTGGGAAAAAAGTAATTGACGCGTTTTTTTTTCGATGTACAGATCAGAAGCGGTGACAAGATGTGCTCGTTTTTTGTTGTTTGTTTAAAAAAAAGAGGATAGTAGATATCTATAGGTGTCAAATCGTTACTTTTGTTTATTCGCGTACTGGAGGGAAGGGTGGCGGGAAGCATCGGTGGATGCAAACACGGCAAAAACTGTGTCTTGTTGGTTATATGCAAGCGGTGAATACGGAATTGTATTATTTATGGCCGTGAAGAGGTTTAGACGACGTTGTTTATTCTGTTGTTTTTATTTTTTCTACTTGCTAAAGAGGAGCAACTGTAATCTAATTTGTAAAAACTAGTATTATCATTATGGCGGTTGCTCGTGTACACGTATCGTCTGGTTGCTGTCGTGAATGTGTTTGGTGTCAGCGAGCTGAGTGTGACGCCCACTGTTGCTTTCGTGTTTGCCACGTTTGCTCGGCGATTTGTCTGTAGTTGGTAGTTTTTTCGACAGTATTTTTGCTTTGCCGTTTCCTAGTTTTGCAGTGTAAGAAAAATACGAAAATGTTCTGTAACGCTCTGTCTCTCGCTCCGTGCGTATCTAACTCCTTTTTTACTTGTCTACGCGGTATTCGTCCCATCACTGTGGACATTGATAAGAAATATACCTGCTCGCATGCATATGTGCATTATTCTGTATGGTATCTGCTGAGGAATGATGAACTTAGTCTATTCTCACCTTGTGTTTTGGTGACATTTGTAATTATACATGTGCGAAGTCGAGTCACGCGTGTTGTCACGAATCACTGTGTGATGCCTGTATCACGAAACCTATGACGTAGAATTAACAACAGACCCTATAATTCAACGCCGGCTAGGTTGGCTCTCGTTACCATAGTCTTCCTAGCCACCACCCCGTTTGTCACTACCCCCTCTCTCTCTCTCTCGGGCTACATTGTTAAATTTGCGGATATCGGAGGTTGCCTCCAGGTCCCAGTCTCACGCAACGTGCCTGGCACACTCGCAGATAATAGAGCATCAATTACTAACAATGTGACGTATAATAATAGCAGACGTGTGGTGGTGCGCGTCGCCATCCGAATTTGTTTGGTGACTTTATACACTAGTTTCTCACCGTTTGGTCGCCAACTGGCACGGTGACCGCCACCACCGTAACCTCGCCGACAAAATCCGAGTGTATTTGAGGATGAACTGCTGGCCTACCACGCAAGTCTCGAAGCAACAAGTCGCGCATGCTCTCTCGTTCGCCCGCGAGAGGAAAGCGGTTTTTTATTGCTATACTTTTATGATACGCGCGAATGTACTGGGTTGTATACGGTTGAGGGTTAAGGGAGCGAGGGGAACGGAGAGAGAAAGGGCGTGGTGACGACTTGTTGCTTGGAGGGTTGTGGAGGTGATCTTTGTTCTTCAGAGCTTCTCTCGTAATGGCCAATCTCTCACTGAAAAAAATGAACAGTAACTCTGAACAATAAAAAAGGTTGCAGAACACCAAACAAGGTTTTTTATTGCTTTCTTCGCATTCGACAGAATACAGTTTCAGGTTAATCGTAGATTTCACCAACTGTACACGAAATATGGGAATGTTCGTATTCAGTGACACGCCCTGTGCAGCCGTCACATGCAACGCAATGTCACCAATCCTGCACCAACAATTGATATCCAGTCTAATTAGCAGTCACTTCGCGTCACCGCAGATCCCAAATATGACCAACAGATTTCGAGACATCGACTACGACAGACAAATCACTCTCTTGTCCAACTTATTGTTTGTAATTACTCTGTCCCATGGGCTCAAGGAAGGCAAGGTATCTCATCATTATCAGCTCTAGATCTACTCTAGCAAGAAAGCTGGAACTTTACACGTCGATACGTGAATACGTCGTTGGTTTGTGAGATGGTCGGGAACAGGTAACAAGGCCGATCTGCGATCCACACATACTCCACGTCGTTATACACACGCACGCACACACACCGAAAGAAATGACCCAGAAAAATACACGGTAATTAGTTCTATATGAAGGCTTCCTTCTGAGATCGTGGATCGACTAGGGACGCTGCGTTTACCGGACGTACCGACGGGAGAAGCCAGTCCATCTATCCTCACCTTCCTGTTCGCTTATCCCTTCCTCTGCGTTTCGTTTTCATCACCATTCACATCATGTCGTTTTGCCGCATTAGTTCAACACAGAGGTATAATTACACTATCCCCGCTAAATAAATACAAACATTTAATACCGCATTTGAAAAGAAAAATAAATTAACGTTGCGCACTATAGCAAATACACCTCGTTTTTAATCAATCGTGCGACCTTCCCTTTCGCGGTCAGCATCCTTTAATAATCAGTGCGCTAACGACTGCTTGCCCAATTATCACAATTTACCCGCAGATAGACACTAGTAGCTGTTGTTCCCGTGAGGGGCTAACCTCGGCTAGTGAACATCAGAGCCATTCTAGCAGAGATCTTCAGTGATAACAAGTTCTCTGCCGAACATGGAATGAATGAAGTCAGCCAGTGAGAGAATCTTAAATTAGCCAGAAGCAGCTGCTGCCTTAATTGCCTTGCCGCCGTAACTAAACGCAGCGGCAACTGTACGTGACACCAGCGTGACTAACTACTGATAGAGCAGCAACTATTAATAGTCGACATGATCATTATGATGATGACATCAGCTTAACCGATAACGTTAATAACTGCACGGTTATCACATTACATTCATTCCCCTGCTACACTATACACTTGCATACTTGCTACTATATAATTTCAAGAAGTCATAATACCTTTTACTGGATATTTTTAGCTCTAGATCATATGCAGCGTCGAAAATAATTTCACATTTGCATGCAATCAGGAGTGAATGAAAACACGTACGTTTTTATGCGCTCCTATTGTATGGTATTGCATAGCAAAGCAGACTGGATTCAGAATCACGAATTCGCAACGTTAGAAGCCGGACTAGCAACGAGAATGAGGCTCTTCCATAACTGAACAGGCGGCATTCTAGCCGCTGCGGAACAATTAACATATACGTCCCGGCTAGACGAGACTTTTTTATGTATGATAAAACCCAAACGGCACCACAATGCTCCTTACAATCCTACAAACAAGCTCGAAACGCCGAAATATTTCGGCAAATCGATGCCATTATGTACTCAGCGTCTAGCCGAGCTAGTTCAGGCAGCGCCACCGATCCCGCGTTGACTT